ATGGTAAGAGAAAATGTGTCACATGGGTCACACTTTGGGATATCTAGGATTTTTTTTTAAATATTGCCTTGTAGAATTAATAACTTAAAACTTGTATACCATTAAAATATGGATTATTTGCTAGGATTTTATGCTATTCTAATTGGTATAACATAAACAAAAAGTAGTTTAATAAAATTTTGAATGTAAAGCATTAAAACCTTGTGTCATGTGCAGTAAAAGATATCAGGGGCAATAGGGTTAAAAGGCAAGAATAAGTGACATTTGCCTGTTGTTTGATGTCCAAATAAAAAGGCTTGGGTAACTAGGATGCTGTTCAAGGACTGGTTGCAAAATCATTTTGTGCATGAGATTAAAGAATACCTGACAAAGAAGAATCTTGACTTTAAGGTTCTTCTAGTTTTGGATAATGCTCCTGTCCATGAATCGGAGTCTATAGCTTGCGTTGCACGTCAGTAAACATTTCCTTGTATAGTAAGACTTGAACGTCTTTATTCCTCCTTGGTCCATCTGTTGCAGGATGAATGTGGTATTGGGAGGTAAAAATATTATCTCCACATTAGGATGGCTGAATTGCAGTGTGTCATGGTATTTTCAAAAACGTAAACAAGTTTTGGAAAGATTATAACATTAAGGATTGTATTGATATCACCAAAATGTCATGGGAATAGGTGAAAGAGTACCATAAATGCACGCTGGCATCATCTTTGGCCTGAAGTCGTGAATGATTTCAGTGGTTTTCCGATGGTTAAGAACGAAGTTGCTGATATCGTGAGACTTCCTAAAGAAATCATAGGTGATGTGTTTGATAATATGAGGAGGTGGTTGAGCTACTGGAATCCCATTACCAAGAGCCAACGAATAAAGAACATGAAGCACTGACAGCCTCCAGGGACAGTGATGAAGATTCTGAAGAGACAGAACCCGCTAAACCCATCCTCACAGTGAAGGCTGTGCTCGATTTCCTAAGCAAAGCAGATGAACTCGCAGAAATGGCTGTATACATGGATCCCATAAGGAAGGGAGGCATTAAATTTAAAAGAGGGTTTAATGATATTCTAGCACTCTACAGAGAAACCTTGAAAGATATATGGAGGAAAGCCATACAGCCAGAAATTACTGACTTTATGAAGCCCAAGTCACCCGATGTAATGCCTTCTGACCCCATTCCATCAACTTCTATATCTGCTTCAATGGAGTTTGAGGCAGAATTTTCTGATGATCCATTGGACTTAAACTAACCTCTCAGTCTCCAAATCTATTATCATCATCATTGCAAGTCTTCCTCTCCTCAATCAAAGGTCCTCTTGTTTATCATTTATACAATAAAATGTGGTACTGTATTATTACATTTAACATATTTTCATTTACAGATGTAGGATATCACATGTGAATATTATTATGATTATATATTTTTAGTTCATATACAATACTGTACAGGTAGGGCTTTTCATTTGTGTGTATAAGCATTTATTGGAGACTTAATGCGGCTGTGTTCCTGTATCCCTATTAATCCTATAAGGTATTGAGTTCCTCCAACACAGATTTGCTCAACATGGCTTGCTCAAGGAACGTATCCCCCATGTTGGAGAAGGGCCCATTGTATCAAATTGAATAAAAAAATAAATGGAGAAAATTCCCATTAAACAAGAAATCTCCATCACTATACTTCATTAACATTTTGCATCAAATTCCTTGAAATAATAATATTTCTACTGTACCTTTTCTCTCCTCCCAAGCGTGTCTGTATTCACTGCATCAGACTCCTGGCTTAGACTCCTGTAGCAGCAAAAGACAAGTCAAGGTTGGGGAGAGCAAATGAAAGCCAAACTAAAACAGAGTGGATGTCTCTATAGGAAAACATGCTGGTGAAACAACAGCAAGGAATACCAGAAAGAAGGGAGTTTTTCGTTACTATAAAAAAGATCTTTCAGTCTGAGTGACTGTATGAAGTTGGTGCTATGTATTGAAAAACTGTACCAAAATAACATACAGATAAACTGCAAAGAACATAATAAAAAATAGGTAAAAACTTGGAGAATAAACATTAAAAAAATTCCAAAGAGAGAAACAAACACAAAAGATAGGAAGAAGAAAGATAGGAAGCAGTTCAAGGAAAGAGGAAGGGGACGACACCAACAGTGAGAATAATGGAAGTCAAAATAATAATAAAAACAAGTTAAAGAAGACAGTATAGAAGGGTAGGAGATAAAGGAAACATGTTAATTTCAATACACGAGTGAAGTTCTTCACTTCTAAATTTGAAATCAATAATAGGCGAGGCTTCTTGATTTATAATTACTAGAACACTGATACGAGCACATTTTAATCATTTACAAGAAAATAAATCATAGATCAAAAATTTGTTACTAATTAATAAAAATTACAAACATTTAACTAAAACTACATCAACTTATAAAGACATACCTGAATAGTGATAAATAGAATTTGTATACAATCAATAAAACACTTTGCTATCACCATTGTGTTTATCATGATAGTGACCAAAATGGTTCTGCTGCAACAAACCTACATATGCTATAACCAAAATAAAAACCTTTTGTTCTTGGTTCAAATCTAGTAACTAGCATTTAAGACAATTATGAGACACATCTAACCTTTCGTTAATACTTTTGAGTAAGGGGAATCCATATGAAACAGTATTTTCTAATCAGGAAAACTCAGACACACTTAAATTTCAATAATAATTTTAAACTAATGCTATTAACACTTTCATAACTGAATTGTAAACATTTTATGTGACTATTCAGTAAAGTGGAACTCACAGATTATAGATATGACAGCAAGAATATTATCTTCAGGCCAACTAGGTATTAGATAACATCTGCAGAGAACTTACTTATATAATATAGATGACAATCAGTATTCCAAGAGAGTAAAAATCAGAACAGGTATGCTGTCCACAGTATATACAAGCATGTGATAGAATCACTACACTACACAGAAATTAAAGGTACAAAGGTTTAATGCAAAACTGAGATATTACGAATTATGAGTCTCCAAAGTAAACTTATCTGCACTCTCTAGAGTATAAGAAGAAAACTGTAATCAGGGACTGATTTAAACTTAGCACAAGGCAGTCATACATTTACTAAGTGTCATAAATGTTCTTTTTTTTGGGGTTCCACCAAGAATAAAGATATCCCGAGTCAATGTGTTCAAGAGTTAGAGGCACTTTTTTGAAAAAAAGTATTGCACTTTTGACTAAATATTGCAATAATTTATACCAGTAATAAAAATAACATTGAATTTGTTTTTTAACATGGGTGAGCTGAGCTTTTCAAAATAGCATAAAATATTGTGTGTTTTGAGAAAAGCTAATGTTCAGTTTATTCTACATGTTTTAGAGGACTTGTTGAGATAAAATTCAGGTGCATTTTTAAATAATATTAACAACTGCAACAGTAAAAAAATCAGTTACAAAGCATTACAGTTCATGAAGAATGATCATGTCTTCATGTGAAGATGTCTTTCACCCTCAGCCAGAAATACAGACATAATGGCAAGATGTTTTACAGTAGATCTTCAAAAAATTTTCAAATTTAACCCTATGAACTCAATGAACCTTTAAACCCCTTTCTGCACATGTCATGAGATTTTACTGAATTAAATTCTAAACTGAATTAAACCACTTTTCTATAAACATATTTTTATAAATTACTATTATCAAGTACATTATAATTTAAGTTTTATATTATTGTATTCCTTTATTTTAAAAAGAAAAACTTGAAACTGCAATTCAAACTGCAGTTTTTGCTCTCATGTGATCCACTGTGGTTAAAATTCTCAAGTCTAAAGAGGTCTTAGACAAGAAACTATATGTTCCTAATATAGATGGTCAAAATACAGTTCCAGCTGTCTCTCATTAGCTGGGGGGAAACTTCCAAAAATTCCTCCCGTGTGAAACAAGATTCTAATATTTCTAAGTTTAAGGTCAGCCACACCCACTTGCAAAGTCAAAGCTGTGTTTTCAAGCGACACTTTGAAGTTGAATTGCATGTTTATAACCTACAGAAAAAGCAGATTTCGCAATATTTGGTTATAGCCTGAAGAAACCTCTACCTGTGTATGGATCTGTAGTATGAAATAGAAATTAAGCTTAGTCCATTGTTCTTAGTATAATGTTGGGCAAGTGTTTCTCGCCTTATATGTATTAGTTTGCTAAACAGTTACATTTATATCTTAATTAATTTTGTATTTATTTGTGTTTTATAATGCATATTTGAAATGTTTATGATTTTTATACATTTAACTTGTTGTAGTTTGACTTACCAAAATGTCTGAGCAATATGGCGTCATTTGCGTATGCAAGTGTAAGTGTTTGGAATTTGTGCACGAGACTCACCCAGGCTCACTCTATAATAAACAATAAAGCACTGAGCAGGACATGTTGTGGCTCTTGTGATAATGAATAAAAGACAAAGAATTGGATAGGAAAATTAAAAAGAAACTGTAAGTTGATGATGATATCTGGAGTTAATGATATAATAGAGAAAATGGAATATAAAAATTTACCTTAAAAACTTTTGATATTCATTTAAGAGGTTCTAGAGATTATGCAAATGAAATGTGAAAACTATGAGATAAGAAATAGTATTTTTATACTCAAAATAAAAATCACATTGCATGTGAAATATTAAGATTAAATAATGAATGTTTTATTATAAATAATAAAAAAAATCAAAAGTCACATACCTACTTAAAATGTAAGTATATTGCAATCAAAGGGTTAAAAGTGTTCTTGATCCTCAAAATACAATAAAATATTAAATAGTGCCACCTACAGGAACATAGTCTTATATAAAATCATACCACAGTAATAAGCTAATTATTTCTAATTATATTCTGAATTCAGTAGCATCACTTGTGTTCTCATAAGATGATAGTGGAATATATTTTGATTTTAAACTCAAACTTCTTAAAATTGATACACTTCAACAAACACAACTACAAAGCCATATTTGTCCACTACAAGTGAGAGAAACATATGTATGATAATACAAAAATTAAGAAAACAAAGTTATCTTCAAAACATAAGCAACCACAGAATACATTCTACATTTATTGTTTATTATATTATATAAATATGACTAACTTACCTATCTAAGGGTGAACTTGATCGGGATGTCTCTACACTTTCTAAATGATCTAAAGAGAAAAAAAAATTCAGTTTATATCCATAAGTTTTAACTATAAAATCACAGCTATGAACAAAAGTCCATTAGTAAATTAATACAGAAAAGGCAGAGTACAGTTGGTGGAAAATATGTTAAAACCATTTTTAAGAGCCCAACAAGGTGACTTTCTATAAACACCTCTTATTATCATTTTTATTACCATTACAATATATATATAAAAGATAATTGTCAAGGAAAACCAAACTAGATATGAAATACCGAGTATTTGTCATTTAGTGTTTCTAACATCTCAATACATGTATTAATTAATTTCTAGCATGTAAGGCCAAGAAGAAGAGCTGCTATAACAAAAATTTACTCAAGTTACATTTAGAATGGCAGTGGTAGATGCATCCATTTTTATCTTTGATACGTAGTCTCCAAAGTTTAATTCTTCTACATCAAAGTAAGACTGATAATAATTTAAATCTCGTAACTGTTCCAGTACAAGACATATTGTGTATAACACCATTTCAACTACACTTTATCTGTTATATCTTGCTATCAAGGCTTTTCACCAATAACTCTCTTCTATAAACTGGCATTGTTCTTTACTGAATATGATCTAAATATTTATCAGTATTACTGTGATATAACACTATAATGAATTATGCTTTGCCAGATTCAGTGTTATATGTAACATAACTTAGAATCAAATAATTTAATATCCAAATAATAATTCCCACAAACTTGTCACTGGAGGAAACCTGTACTCCAAATTAGTATTTATGTTTTCTACAACCTTCCAGGACTCCTCTATTTAACAAGTATATTCTCAGATAGAAAGAAATTAATCAAGCAGTTTCTTAAAATTAACTTTAATACAACTTTTTGTTTTAGATCACCTGGTTCTACAGTTGCCATAACATAATTGTATAGTTCTTCATTAGCTTGGTGTAAAACATGCTGCAGAAGTTGTTGCTGAACAGCATTACTGTTCACCACCTGTTTTAGTTTGGCTTCTATCTCCTTCACAATGGTTTCCTTCTGGGCTACTTGGAAGCTCTGAAAAATAAATACCAAATATTGAAAAGATTGTGGCAAAACATTGTATAATATAGATACAACGACATTTCAGAGTTATATTTCAACATGTGTTATTTTGTTATTAGAATGAAAACTCACTAAAATAATTCTCCATTGTACATTTGTTATACAACATGTCATTGCAATAGTATTTAGTGCTTTCTTCTTTCAAGTTACAAAATATTACTGATAGGGCAAATTCCAGGAATTTGGAATAGACCCTGCAACCCAAATTAATGGTTCCTGGATATGTGAGAGTAAAAGTGGCTTTTTTTGCATTATCTTAGGGTACCAAACTTGTAACTTAGTCATCAAACACTGTCAATCAAAGTATATGTAGTACATAAGGTTCCCGATACTCCATAAACATTCCTTAGTGATACTATATATCGAATGATAAAATCTCTCCTCCAACCTACTCAAAAAGTAGCTATACCATCTGTTGCTTAACTTCAGCAGTGAAAATTAGTTCCTAACAGCAAATAAAATAGTGTGTTAGTCTAGTTATAAAGCCATTGTTTTACAAATCAGTGTTTAGAAAGGAAAAAATTTGTATATATACAGTTTCCTAGTAACTATTTGATGTACACTTAAGTTATGCATGTATTGGACTGGCAAGAAGTTTTGTAAACTATGTTTGTTACACTTGAATATCTTTATAGGCTAACACAACTAATTAATTGGTTGGTTGTTTGTCCGGGGCTTTATGGCTCAAAACCAAACAACTGTTAAAAAGACAAAAATTAAGCAAAATACCATAAAAAGTAAAAGGAAAACAATCTAAAAGCGAAACAGTGCCCATAAATATGGGGAAAATTTCATATAATGATAAAGACTAATGGCCTGTAAAAAAGCTAAAAATGATCAATCTGAACAGTTTTGCCATCATCAATGACAGTGTCCAACATAAAAAGTAAACCTAGAGAAAAAACATGTCCAAAATGGTACCACCACTCGCAGTCATAACAACGGCACTAAAGCAACACAAGGGCAATTGTGACCTGAGTGTCACAAAGGCCACACATTAGAGGAGCAGTCTAAGATAAAAGAAAACAATGAGTAATAATACTGTAGCCAATGCATAGCCTAGACATAACTTCCTCCCTCCAATCCTTATGAAAACTAGACAACCAAATGGGAACATTAGGTTTGATCTAGAAAAGCTTGTTATGAAGTTGCTCACTCCAAATCGACTACCAACTGGTGTGACAATGTCAGAGGAAACAGATCAAGCTGTATTATCAATAAGCACGTTCCCATAAATATCGACATCCAGGTATCCAGGAAAGCAGATAAAAATGGATGACAAAGAAAAGTAGACCTGTCATTTCTGAATATGTAAGATAACTGGGTGAGAGCTTCCATTAAGTGATTTCAGGACCAATAGAGAGCTAAGAAAGTCAGTGTATGTAGTACAGTTAGAGAACTTTTTTAGCCTCTAAGTGAAATGGCATACAGCTCAGCAGTGACACAAGAGAGAGAATTGTGTCCATTAAAGTCTTTGAACAGGAAAAAGGTAGATGGTACCTGTTTGAAAAGAGCATCAATAGCTGATTGATCATAATATTTTCCTGGCGACAGGTAAAGAAAACATACAGTGATGGTATGACCCATGGACATAAGGACAGCAACAGTTTCTAATGGCATAGCGAAGAGCACAGATATGGTGGGAGCACATTAGTCAACCAGCAGTACCACACCTACATGAACTCCTCTATCACATAACATGCCATTCTCGTATAATGAAGACTGCCAAAAGGTGAGAGCATTGGCAAGTCATCCAAATTAGTACAAAAACCTTGACAGATCCATTACTATACAGGAGGAGGAGAACTGGATGGAGAACCCTTTTATTTACAACCACAACGTTTTTGCTTAGTAGAAATAGGTCTATCGATCTCCATGGAACCTGCCCTGGGTCAACTGGGCAGATCTCTGTCAAAGGAAGGAGACTCCAGTGACTGAGTGCGTGACCAAATAACAGTCCTGCACCTCAGGACTGATGGCGAAGGTCCCAAGCAGTCAGTGGATGCTACAGTGGGGACAGAGACAGGAGTAGATGTAGAGTTCTTGACTCGTGAATCCATTGAGGGTAGAAGACCCTTTACATGGTGAGAAAACGACTCTGAGAGAGGCATGGAAAGATCTGTCTGAATGGCACCCTGTACAAAGTTGTGGCATGCACACTTTGACCCCTCCTGTCCACATAATGCTAACTTGTGCTCTTTGACCATTTGAAAACAAAACATTGCTCTAAGCTATTCATGAAATTAAAAATTATTGTAGTGCATTATATTTAGTTCTAAGCAAGTTTAAGAGCCAAGCAGTTTTTCCTACCATTAGCAGTTTACTTTTCACAATGTTTTAACATCAGGTAGTGTTTTTGTTATATTATGGTTCTCACATAAAGAGAGAGAAATGTCTAAAGAATATGTAAAGAGAAGCAGAATATTAAAAACAATTTTAACATTGAATACACAATAGAATAATAGTTTATATCATATACCAAATTGTAATTTCTCTTTACCTGGTTGATAGCCATGTTCAGCAGTTTCTGTAAAAGATACCTTGCTTCATCCATCTGTAAATTGGCTAAGACACTGTTTACATCTAAATCATCCAAGTCATCCTACAAGAAGTGACATAAAAATAAATTTTAACGTACAGTCTTCTGACATTATGCAATTTGGAGCACAAGTTTTCATTTTCCAAATAAACAATGTTAATTCATTTTATAGATTAAAGCTCAAAGTATGGTGCACTCTAATATCTAATTGATACTTTATACATACACTCTCCTTGGACTCCTCCATTTGCATGATACTTGTCTGGCATTCAGAGATGTTTTCATGGACATAATCAATGTTGGCCTTTAAGTTTTCAAGTTCATCTTCTAGGTCTCGGATCACTATTTCTCCCTACAATTACAGTTTTAAAACCAACATACATATAGAGAAGTGATACAAAACATTAATTTACAAATTTACTATATATATGACACTTTTCTTTTTGTTTACCAACATACAGGAATATTAAAATTTAGTTATTCTAATAGGACTTGGAATTTAAAGTGAATATGCACTCCTGAAATAAAATTCAATGTATTTAATGAATACCTTTTTTGATGACTTTCAATTAAAAAGTTACAGCAAAAAGCCCAATAATCCAAAAAAAAAGTTTTTAGTACTTACAGAATTAAAAGTAATCCATTCAAGACTAAAAATAAAGCATTCTAAACACACATTGTATTGACAAAATAAAACTTTGAGAAACATTTTTGGTAGATCTGTACTTTTTTGTCATCTCTGTGTACAAATTTAGTAGTTTACCACTAAATAATTGCTAAAACATCTAATTTCATTTCTTCTCATTCTTAATGATTCGATGATATAAGATTATTGAAAAACATATTTTAAATTCAATTTTAAACATGACAAGCTACAATATTTAATACTTTCATCAAAAAAGTAAAAATCTTTAAATCCTTATGAACCTGAACACAACCTATACATAACATCTTTATAGTCATCTACTATCAAATTCATGCACAAGTACCAAAGACCTTTTCATACTTTTATTACTGATGATTGTGGTGTATCATTTAAAAGTATAATGATGTAGTATGTTGTGACATTTGCATCTCCCTCAGCCCATGTCTACTCTAATTCATTTGGTGTATCAGCATTTGTAGTCATCATACATATTGTAACTTAATCTCAATCAAAAGTTTTTTATATAACAAAACCAACATCTGTGCATTTTACAATATTTCACCATGACTTATAGATCTTGTTTGTTGTTATAGCACTATATGGACTCCAAAACAGGAACAATCTCTAATACACTATGTTGTGAATTGAAATCATTAATAGAATAAATAAATAGTTTGTTAAAAAACCATCCACAACAAAGCAGGAATCATTTTATAGATCTAAAAAGCCACATTATTTCAACTTCACTGCAAATATAAATGGTGTTTCAGTTATGCTTTTCACTGACATCTGATGAATTCTGGCATTAAACAAAAGACTTCTGACTAGTGACTTATGTTTACTCAGATAGTTTTTCCTTTCCTTAGACAAATAAGATAGTAATAATTGGGTGTAAGAAGGAGCTTCCATACCAAAATGCCAGATGTATAGAACTAGAAAAAGTTATGTGACAGTAATGGAGTGAAAGTAGCCAATTATGATCATCATTGTCATTGCATGGCTCAGCAGTAGCTAAGCCATCTCTTTGCTCCCTGATGTTTGTTACAATTTTTAAATGTCCTTCAAAAACTGGCATTTTTCATAATGAGTTGTCAATATTACACCATTTTCACAAAGAGTTTCATACATTAAATAAAATGTTTCAGGTTTTATAGACTCTGAAGACTCATGATGTCCACAAAGTCGTAACACAGTTATGATCTTGGAAAACACATGACAAGTGTTATCTACTTCTTTATTATTGATGCACATATGCACAGTTTATCTGTTCAGTATTATTTGTTTTGCCCAAAAGTTGCAGTTCAATAGCATATTGCATAAGAGAAATTGAAGTTTGTGTTTTGAAGATCTTTTTGACAAATGTTTAAATCTTTGAAACCTGATTTTGTCCACACATTTACACTGCTGAAGAGTAAACATGAATAACAATATAAAAACTTCTTGGAAACACTGGCAATTAAACACTTTTGCTATTCACTGTAAATGTCAAGTCCATGTATCCTCAATACCTTCCATCTATTTCTGCATAATTAAATAAAGCTATTTACTGTAAATGTCAAGTCCATGTATCCTCAGTACCTTTCCATCTGTTTCCACCTAAACAAATAATGCTATTTCCTGTATCCTCAATACCTTTCCATCTATTTCCACCTAAACGCAAATAGCATTATTTATTTAAGTAGAGTAGATGGAAAAATATTGAGGATACAGGAAATATAATTATTTGTTTAGGTTGAAATAGATGGAAAGGTATTGAGGATACATGGACTTGACATTTACAGAAAATAGCATTATTTATTTAAGTGGAAATAGATGGAAAGGTATTGAGGATACAGTAAATAGCATTATTTGTTTAAGTGGAAATAGATGGAAAGGTATTGAGGATACAGGAAATAGCATTATTTATTTAAGTGGAAATAGATGGAAAGGTATTGAGGATACAGTAAATAGCATTATTTATTTAAGTGGAAATAGATGGAAGGTATTGAGGATACAGGAAATAGCATTATTTTGTAAATGTCAAGTCCATGTATTTTCAATACCTTTCCACCTAAATAAATAATGCTATTCACTGTAAATGTCAAGTACATGTATCCTCAATACATTCCCACCTAAATAAATAATGCTATTCACTGTATCCTCAATACCATTCCATCTATTTCCACCTAGATAAATAATGCTATTCACTGTAAATGTCAAGTACATGTATCCTCAATACATTTTCACCTAAATAAATAATGCTATTCACTGTATCCTCAATACCATTCCATCTATTTCCACCTAGATAAATAATGCTATTCACTGTAAATGTCAAGTACATGTATCCTCAGTACCTTTCCATCCAATATTGCTCTGTCTCTTTTTCTACAGACTTTTTCTAAAGAATGTCCAAGCTTCTCTCTTTCCTACAGAAAAGAAAATCTGATTATTATAAAAAAGACACAGACTCCACTACTTGTTTCATTTAAAAAGAACGTTTTCCTATGATTTTCAAAATTTCAGCCACAAATAGCCACTAAAAAGAAAGAATTAATATGTATTATAATATTCATTAATAAAATTGTTTGTGTCTTAAGTACAAAGCTACACAAAGGACTATCTCTGTTTACCTCAAGTATATGAGCTTGATATTTAGTATTATAAGCCTTCAGATTTACAGATGAGCCACAAGGGGACCATTATAAAACCCTATAGCAATGTTACTACACTCATTAATTTTTTATTAATTTATTAATTACATACCAGTTCACACATGAAAAGCTAAAAATCACACTAATAGTCACATTGTAAATAAATATTAAAAGGTGAATGCAGTTTATTATAATTAGCACTTTTACAAATACCGGTTTCAGACTTAGTTCTTCAAGTATATTATTTTTGACAAAGAAAATAAAAATAACTTCTGAAATTACCTGCAACCATTTTTCCATTTCTCGTTCCACATTTGAGACACTCTGCTTATTTAAAGCCACCTTCATGATCTATGGAAACATAGTGATGAAGTTACAGTTAATATAATTGTATGTTTTAGTTCATAAAATGAAAAGCTTCTAAAATTCTTCTAGATGTCCTGAATGTTAGTAAAATTGTTCAAAAAAGTTTTGTTGAAAAAATATAACTTCTGATTAAACTTTGTTCACACTAATCTACATTCATTGATGAACAACCTATCAGAATTGATGGAATCTTCAAATATTTCAACCCTAGAACTTCAACAATACAAGAAATATTAGATAATTTTAGATGTAAGAACAATGAACTGTAAATTTGTGTAGCAGAAATAACGTTAATTGAAAACCTAATCCTAAAAAACTATTTTGTACTGATCAACACTTAAATTAACATTTCTGTGTACAAGATTTCCTTTTGCATTATACACAAGTGTTAATCAAAAATGTTTAATAAACACAAGTTTCACTTGATACAGTTTTATTCATTAATAACTGATTTCTTTAAATAACTGTATGAAGTTTAAAGCATAAAACTTCCAGAAGGTGATCAAATTATTTCCAAGACTTACACTAGTCTACATGAAAACTTTAATAAAATAATGCTACATATGAGCAGGATCACCTTACCCTCTTTTCTAGATGCTGCCACTTCTGCTTAGCTACTTTCGGAGAAAAAGGAAGACTTCTTACAGCAGATGCTATAACACATTAAATTAATATAAGTTCAATAAAGAGTTCATGATAACACCAAAATAATTCCATATTAAACAATACTTCTAAGACACATTAAAAAGGCTAATTTTTAAATATAACATAACAGTTAGTTAAAAACAAACTATTATTAGAAATTTTAGGAAATTAAATAAACCCCATAATTAAAAGCATGATCTTTCAATGATATTTTTCTCCTTGAAACTTAAAGTTCCATTACAGTTTCTTAGCATGTCTAAAGAATCCACATAAGCTAAATTTCCTTTCATTTAAATGAATGACAGAACAGTTTTCAGCCTCAACATCATTTTTCTTTTTCTAAAGGCCAAAAATTTATTTAACAATAATGCTCAAAAAATCTTCATTAAAAACTATAGTATACCATTACTTTTCTTTTAGTTTATATTTAAAATATTTTTCAGACAACAAGAGTAAAAAAGTTCTCTCATGACAAGTTACTTTAGGATGTAAATTAAAAAAATTCTTATATAACATAGAATACTTACAATGCCTTGCCCATCCAATTTTTCCTGCAACCTTAGCAGACATAGGTTTATTCCTTTTTCTTAGGACTAATACCTCCTCCTGTTTCCTACGTAACACAATTTCTTTCATTCGTTTTTCTGCTTCTAGGGTTCGAATCTTGTTTTCATGCTTTCGACCTTCCTTTCTTAGTTGTGCAATCTCTTTATTCTTACGCTGTTCTTGCATCTTATGTTTCTGGCTTTCATCTTTCATTTTGTTCACTAAACGTACCTACATAATGTATTGTATCATTTATCAAGAAACTAGTAAAGCTGAATATCCATTTCATAAATTCAATGAAAACAATTTACACTTTTGCCAACTTTACTAAAAACCAGTATTAATCTTGCTTTATAAGTTAGAATCATAGTGATTTTTATTCTTCAATACATTTCAAAAGAACAAAATTAAAAATATCACAATGAACTTTTATATAAGTTAGTTACAATACAAATAAAAAAACATTATATTAAACAATATTTGAGAAAAAAAACATCTTTTTTTTGCCACAAAGTTTCTAAAGTTTTATATAATGTGATGAAATTAAGTAGTAAATATAACCTTGGCCTTTTTCATGTCTACAACTTCTTGTCGCAGCTGTTTTAACTGTCGTTCATATTGAACTTGGTTCTTCATCAGGTTCGCATGTTCCTTCTTTGCTGATTGCATCTTCTTTAACTCACTCTGAAGAGCACCAATTTTCTTCTCAAATTCCTCTTGTACCTTTTTAATTTTATCATGTGACTGCACTCCTATACCCTCTAAGTATTACAAAGCACAAAATTAAGCTTTCAACAACTATTTCCTGCTGTATCATGTTTATGATATTACAAACAAAACTCATAATGATAATCATCTGAATGAAAGAATGTTTAAAATTATTGGCTCAATCATGCTTTAAAAATAGAACTACATATAGAATATTTAATCTTACATGCTATATGTATCTGTGTATATATATATATATATATATATATATACCCTCTGTATCTGTTTTAGAGCTTTCATCTTCAATTCTCTATTATAAGAAGGAAATACACAACACTTACTGCTGGAATGTAAAAGTAACAAAGAATACAACAACTAATATCAAAAACATTTTATTTTATATTTGAAGATTAATTTCCGTGGACAAATATTATTTAATACTATAAAACAACTAGTACATCTAAAGAAGTTACAACTAACCAATAAATATAAACTGCAGGATTTTATTCTCAAGAAACAACATTTTGAAAGAACAAAAAATCACAACTTTACGGTTACAACTCCAAAAAATATAACATCTCATAAATTTGCTGTCAAAAAAAAAGTCATCGTTTTACAAATTTCATTACTAGATTTCTGTAGCAAACAGTTGGGAATTCACTGGTATTTGGAACTCAGTTTTAAAAAAGTAACTTATATTTAGTTTAAATGATATAATTTCTTGTTTGCCCTTAAGTTTGATAAATACTAGTATTGAAATTCATTATTTCAGGTTAACCCATACATGAACTACAAGATGAATTTACTGTGCATCAGAGTTTTGTTTCACAAATTCACTTACTTGTCATGTTTGCTAGAACTCTGTCTCTCTCTAGCTCTGTATCTTTAATCTTATTCTGTAACTGCTGCAGTTTATCTTCGTAATGCTGTCTCATTGTTTGTAAGCGACGTTGGCTGTTCTCTAACTCCTCAATCAGTTTTTGCTTGATGCTTATTTCACAAGTCAAATCAGCCAAATCTTCATTATAGTCCTCTGGTGCTGCAACATTTTGGAAAATTGTTAGAAACACATACAATAAATCAAACAGATCTGAAAAATATAAGTTAAAGTTAACATTTTTCTTAACTGAAACTGTATTTCCAATAGATACTTACATCCAAACACAGAAATTTATTTTCCTCTTGAAATTACAATAATCTTTCTTATAGACTTGCATGCAACCAGTGTTGTGAAAACTCCCACCTAAAATTCATGTGAAATTGGGCCACTGCATGATGACCTATAATGCAGCAAAAACCCCCACCAACAGGAGTGCAACACACCTTGCACAAATACTCCTTTTACATTCGAGACCAAAATATGTCATTCTTTGATGAGGCCACAAATAAAAGTGCACCAGGGAGGATGAATGGGAATGTGTATGGAGGTAAATAACTATAAGAAATAAATTTTCAATTAAGGAAAATGTTAACTTCCAATAAAACCATTCATCTCCATACACAGAAAGTTAAATCCATGGGTGCACACCTCAGCCATCAGTTTCTATTGGTCAAAACCAGCTCTGGGAGAAGGGCATTTGTGATAAGTATCCATTCACAGTTCCTCTATGGTCAGACACTGCAGGCCCCTCACCAGTCACAAGAGGATAGCACTGTGTAGACATGCAAGTTTATTGGACACAAATAGTACTGATACCTAAATAACCATAACTCAACTATCAGATACTATGGGCCCCTTGCTTACTGTGAGAGTAAGGTGCGTGAGAAGTACATCAGAGTTGGATATGAAACAATATCATCTACTCTGCCATCAGATACAAAATGTTCAGGCCATTGCAGAAGTAGGTATTATGACAGACAGACAGATATACGAGCATGAGATAGTGAAATGTGTCCAAATTCCACCTGGAGATTGTGATGTATTTATATACAATGGGGTGATTTGCACAACACTCCAGAAATATTCTTGCCCCACTTCTCACTGTAGAAGGACCCAAATCTTGGCCCTCAGCGTTTAGGTCCCAATTGATGAGGATTCTCCATGGTCCACCACCCCAATAGCTGGGAGCTTATAAGTGGCAAGGGTCTCCTGTGCTCCACTCAAAGAGGAGGGATTTGTGTTAGGAAACACAGAGAATGTGCATGGATCCCCATCAGGCAGCTGCCAGAAAGGTCTTTTACTGGAGACATTACAATGGGTGACCAACCCCCCCCCCCCCTTTTTTTTAAAGCCAACAAGCATGAGTCAAAGAAGTTTGCATATGATCAACTCTGGGGATAGCTTTTTCTATGATAATCTATGCAATGAGTACAGTTTGGACCGGACTGGAAAAAGTTATATACAAATACCAGGAGTAGAACTCCAGTGATCTCACAGTGGCACTGATCGTACCAGAGTAGATGGTCTGAATGCTTTCTGCTATCCTGGCCTTATGTGAATTCTGGGTGTGAAGCAACATTAGCTGCTTTATGGGATCCATAAGTAGAAAATTGTAGGGGAAGGATAAGTAAATGAATACTTACACCCATTACCAGTGCAGGATTAATTGAAGAATGGCCATTAGTGGAAGGCTATATGCTACAAGAGACAAAACAGCCAGATGAGTGAGAGAATTTAATCTGAGATGCTAGCCCAGCAAAAGAAGGGGGAAAAGCTGAAGATAGGAGACATATACACGACGTATGAGCTGGCAGATTCAGTCTGTAATTAGAAAAAGAGAGAAGACCTGTATAGAGGAAATGTCCCACATATGAAAGGAAAGTAAGAGGAGGGAGGGTGTGACAAAACACTGTTTGGCCTGGACTGGACAAGAGCATCTTTTTCAGAACTGAAGGATCACTGAAAAGAGAAGTTGATTGAGGGGATATTGGAGAAAAGAAGTGACCATGTACCCTGCCATAGATTACAAGGAGAAGAGAAATAATGAAAAAGCATGAAGAAATAAGGGTGTAAAAATTTGTACAAAGGCAAGTAGGAATATGACGTGTCCTGAGAGAACGGAAAAATCTGAAGCATTTATGGATACTAAGCACTTTCATGTATTCAAATGCTTCACAAAAATTAAATAAGAGATGAAGAACAATTCACAAACTATAAAGCCTCTGAGAACAATGCATAAGTAGGAGGAAATAGTGTGAGAGAGAACTCCTAAGCTGATAAAAGGTCAAAAACTAGGCAAAGAACCATTAACTGACATAGCATTGGATGCTGAAAAAAAAAGAGTAGCTTGGATGAATGGAATTCAGTCACAAGACTGGTGTTTACATACCAAACAGAGCAAAGGCTATCTAGAAAGTTTACATTAACAGGGGGGGTGGAGACAGGACTTTGATTTGGTATTGATGACACAAAAATAGTGCAGTACAAGTGAATAAGCTGCTGATTCACGGACTCCTACTATAACCAATTTTGAAAGAACTCTGGTTTTGGTTATGGAAAAGCCCACGAATGTGCAGAAATTGTCCAATGAAGTGTCAGACCTACTTGTAGGTAGATACAAATACTATTTGAACATTCACAAGAATATTAAACAACTTCATTTAAAAACTTATGTATGGAGCTGAAAAGTCAGTTCTCCAGGACCAAAGAAAAGTCTCCTAACCACACTGTCAGTCAGAAATTGAAAGTCTGAAAAGATATTGAATCTCTCAAGCCTGTAATGAAGCCAAAATGCCATCTCAACCTCGATGTAAGTAATGAATGCTATGTCTCTTGATTGAGTAATGTAGTTAATATATAATGATGAAAGGAACTTAGAACTTAAGCATGCCTGAATATAATCCTTCTCGTATTCCAACTGAAAGTATGTTGAGTATAATAAACAGCTTGATCAGAATTATAGAATATGTGCTTGATGAACTATATGAGTATTTACTGTAAACATTGTATTTTGATTTTCGATATATACATTGAATACTGATTGTGTTTTTGGAACATCAGTCTCAGAGACAATTCTTTATTCTAACTGTAAACTACCTTGAGTTAGTGACTTGTGTACTCGACTAGCGACTGTATACCTGGACTTAATATAAATCTGATGTGACTGGTGGTAAAGACAAGCTACAACGACTAGCTTACACAGCCTGCCTGTTACACATCTGCTAGTGGTTCAACAGGGACCCAAGTATGAGCATGGAGAACCACAATGATAATCCAATCAGGCAAGAACTTGGAAGGGAGAAATTGGATAAGGAAGGAAGGAATGAAAGAAAGTAGAAAGAGGCAGAAAAGAAGGGAATTGTGACATTAGGAAAGGCAAAAGGTGGATGAAATGCTGCCCAAGAATACAAGGTAGAAAAGTCTTGTAGATCAAGAGAGGATCATCCCATGAAAGAGAAGGAATATGTGACAATGTAATGAAGTCAAAGGGAAGTGGAGAAAAAGAGACCAAGGTGAAAGGTATATCCCATACAATGAAACATGGAGGTAGCAGGGAGGGGATGACAGGAGTTGACAAGGGGATAGCTACATGATTGAGGAGATGAACTGGGCAATACTACAATCAATGAGAAAAGGATGCCATATCCAGAAGAAAGAGCAGTGTGTGAGTGTGGATCAGAAAAGATAGAAAGTTAGGAAGGGGAAGCCAAGGCTAAGACTCAATGAGGTGGAGTAATAGAAACAAGGTTGGGAAGACTGTGAGGGGGCCACCAGACTAAACCTGTAAAGGATGTCCTGAAACTGAGTAAGGACCTGACATGTTAAGGAATAATAAACAAAGTCCAAACATTAAGTCCTATGATCTAGGTGTTAATGAAGAATAAATTATATCTATATAACAACATTTATGTTTACCTGGTAAGGACAAAGCACAAAACAGTGGGAGCTAATTGAACCCTGCAGTAAATGCTGGATGTGGCATTAATAAGGGAGAAAAAAGGAAACAATTGGTAGAAGGCTTACATAAGGAGAGAAAGTATTAGGTGGAAAGTTGCTCAATTTCATCCTCCTTAACTTCAGCTACAAAATCTGTGAAGGGAAATGTGTGGCAGAAATGGCCCAGGTGGGAACATAGACCCCACTGCATAGTGAACAAATTATGTTACTCTTCTTCTTACTGTATTTTCAACCTGACCTGAATGGCACCTTGTGCAATGTGATGGCTGTCACAACCTTAACAGGCAAAACTTCCTAAATGTTGGTAATATTTTTACTCACATCAGCAGAAAGAGGAATTCACATTAATCTATGAATTCTTATTGAAAGATTGAAAATACAAAGTAAAGTTTTTGAAGTAGGTAGTTTAACAAGTCTCATCAAAAACAGACATGTCTAAATGCAACCATGCTGAGAAAAATAATGACATATATTGTGTGTGCAAATGTAGAGGAAGTATTTGTGCAAAGATGTGTGTCACACCTATTAGTAGAGGATTTTGCTGAATGATAGGTCATCATGCAGTAGCACAATTCACGTGACTTTTAGATGAGAGTGTTCACAAGGCTGGTGGCATGCAAGTCTCTCAAGCAGATTACAACAATTTCAAGAGAAAAATAGCTTTCTGTGTATGGAGGTTGGTATTGTATCAGAATCCAGTTTTCACTTTATTTTTTAACAATTGCACAATCATTAGTTAAATAACTCAACATAAAAGTATGATAAATGCTTATAACATCATATTAAAACACTTGATATTTTAAGAATTTCTAGTGAAATTTACTGTTATCAATTTTTTGTATTCATCTTTTAAGATGTTGAATATTCTAGAATAAACCTTTTCTCTAGTCATACCAGTATCCTCTGTATCTGTCTCGGAACTTTCATCTTCTTCATTTTCTTCAATTCCCTTTTAAAAACAAGTAGTAACTTATTACTCAGTACATAAAAGCATTATTTGACAATTCTGCTAACAATAACATTAAGAATAACTTTTCACTGGTGAACAGTTGAAAATAGACTACAGGAAGAAATGTTCTTTTTAAGTCAATCATTTAGTATATTTTTGAAATGTTATGGTTAAACTTTTCAGTAAACAATATTATAAAACTCTTTATTAAACACACTTTCAGTTTATTTCAGTCCATTTAAAATAAAACTCAAAACATTTTCATATGATTTTTCTTAACCTCATAAATTACTTACATCCTGAATCTCTTCATCTTTCTCTTCTTTCTCCCCATCTTCTTCAACAGTGTTATCACTTACTCCGCTTTCTTTTTCCCTAAGACAAGAAATATTACCAAACCAATTAATCATCTAATAACTCCTAAACTTATGATGTGTTTTATGTTATCAAGTGCTGAAGAACCTTCTTTGGAAATGCTAAAATTTAGTGATTTCTTAATGAAAGGATACATAAATATGAAAACATTCAAAAATATAATGTAATTTACCTACATTGATTTCGTTACATTTGGTCTTACTCATCTTTACACTAATTACAGATAGTAATTTAAGTATTTAGCTACATGATATAAATGTTTAGCTGTAATTTCACCCACAATGATAATGTAAGTCTTTCACAACCACATAGAGATTAATTAAATTTTCCAGATAGTAAAAAAAAACAAGTTTACTCAAACACACAAGCAAACAAAAACAGAACTTCATAGAGTGAACAAACTTACTTATCCACTTGAGAGCCATAGTGAGAAAAGACTAAACTACATAAATATTGTAACTTAAAAAAAAATCAGTGTTAAAAACAATGCAATGAAGAGTAGAAGAAAAAATTATCATTAAAACTGTCTTCCGTTTCTTTTTTAATATGTGATATATATAGTATGGTACTGATTGAACTCAAGATAAATGTACCATATATTACAGCTGAAGTCAGAGTCAACAATGTTTGTGTACAACTGATGAGAACAGTAAGTATTTATTATTATCCACATAAGCAAAGCTGCTAATAAGATTATGCACCAATTTCAAATGATTTACCCAGTTTCTTTTAAAACCTTGGTTTTCTTTTTCAGCTTCTGTACATCTCGTTTTGCTTCAGTTAAAAGTTCATAGACAGATGTTGGCTCAGCATCAACTCCAATATCATATTGGCCTACAACAGATACAGCAACTGAAGTTGGACTTAGCGGCTGACGAATTGGTGATCGTTGGACACGTCTCCGAAGCTGAGTACACATCCCTTCAGACTCCATTAACTTAGCCCTATGAAGGTAGAACCCACAATATATTTTGTCTTTATGTGTAAGCTGTACCACAGTAACAGTAACTTTTATCTAAGAACAGAAATGTTGATTATTCTTATATATATATATATATATTCTATTTTATATACAAACAGCATCTTTAAATGCAAAATTTACCTATATAAAAAATACTAAAATCATTTATTTCTTGCTTTTTTAGTTTCTGAGATAACTGAGAAGTAGAAGCTTAATGAAATATCAAAGTCTTTATCATTAAAAAGGCAAGATTGTATAAGACTCTTAATACAGTATTTTATATTAGACAAAGAATTGCTTACATATAGAACATATGATATTGTAACTTCATGTGAAAACAGAATACAGAGTACTATGAAAGTTAATTAACCAAAAATACAAAACCTACAGCTTATATACCTGAGATCTTCTATCTCTCTGAGATAGCCTTGTATCATTCCTGTAATATCTGGCTGTGATGAACTCTCTCCTATGATAGAAGATTACAAACATTTTGTTACTCTATGTTAACTACAAATTCACATTCTGAACAAGATTAACACAAGAATCACCAAGGCCATCAATTTAACAGTTTTCACTTATAAAATTTAAATATTTTTGTGTATATGAAAAAATACACTGTTGTCCCTTCAAGACTTTTCCTAAATCTGTGTATTAAATACCCTGATGTTGTGTTTTAAAGGCAGAATCACGGAAATAAAAAACGTTATAATCACTTTTCCCTAAAATCACCAATGGTCCATAAATCTGAATGTTGTTTACAATACATGCTATTATCTATAACAACATACAGTTCAGTTTTTTGTTGTTTTTTTTTATTGCAAGTAGACTACAGTTTCAGTATAGATACCTTTTGTTAATTCTATTTACAACTGAGCTCCCAGCTCTTTGAGTACATTAGTCTTTGCTTATATTTTGGCCCTTTTAGCATAGTCTACCTATAATCCAATCAATTCCTGTGAGAAGTGGCATCTACTGTCTGTTGATTTAAGTATATATAATAACAGAGAAACTGACAGAAACTCAAAAATGGCTCAAGGAAAACAAATGTATGCTCAACAAGTGAAAAAGAGGCTCAGATGTAACATTTTTTTTCAGAAAATGATTCTGATGCATGGAATGTGAATGATTTCAAAAACAATGACTCCTGGATTTGTGAAACAGATAGTCCTGTAAATGAAAATGAGGAAAGTGCCCATTATCATCAAAACAACTCTACAGATGCAGAAACAATGGAAGGATGGAACAACTTGGGAAATTACGAATCCCAGTATTAAGGCTGCAGAAAGACATGCTGTAAAAATGTTTCGTCAGAAACTCCAGGTCCTACACAGTATTCAAAATGCAACATTGATAGCCCTATCAGTGCTTTTCACTTATTGAATGATATGTGAATGACACGCTACATCCAATAATGTACTAAAGCAGAGGTTTCAAAATGGTGATTCCTGGAAAATATCTCCGGAGGAATTACAAGCAGTTATTGCACTGCTATACATTCATGGAGCCTATGGTGGCAAAAGCATTTACCTGGAGAGCATTTGGTTTGCACAATGGGGAATTGCATTTTTACAGAAACAATGCCAAGGAATCCATTTTGAGAAATACTGAGATTTTTTTGTTTTGACTTCAGAGCAATGAGAAGTGCCCAACTTCAGACAGACAAATTTGTCCTGTTATTGGAAATTTGGAATGTCTTCATTGCAAACAACACTGTATGCTACATTACTGTGGATGAGCAACTGTTTCTTACAAAACACAGGACACAATATATAGCAAAAAAAACCATACAAATTTGAATAAAGTTTTAGCAGCAGATATTGCCTCAAAATACATTCTGAATGGTTTCCCCTACCTGGGCGAAGATGAAATCTACTTAGCTGGTCAGAGACTAGCAGACAGTTTGGCTGATGGCAACATACTTATGAAAAGGGAGGATGTGACTACAGACCATTTTTTTTAACTTCACTTGAATTGGCAAAAAAGTTGCATAAAAAAAATACAGACTAGTTAGAACATTGAATAAATTAAAGAGAGTTTCCACCATCTGTACTAAACTTACAACCAGAACTATACATCAGTAAAATTTTGAAACAGTGACTTTGCTACATTGTCTGTTTACAAATACAAGCCAAGGAAAAATGTTTGTATTCTCAGCTCTTTTCATATGTCAGTTGGCATTGAGATTACCGAGAAGAAAACCAGAGGCTGTGCTTTTCTACTATCAGATAAAGTACAGAATGGACGTTGAAGACCAGATGGCACATCAGTAGTCAGTAAAAGCTGGTTCTTGTTGGTGGCCAGTTGTTATATTTTACAATGTCATGGACCTGGTAGCCATCAATTCCTTTGTCTTGTATAATAAATAATATCAGTAGGAGGGGATTTCATCTTGAAGCTAGACTCAAAGCTCCAACAAAAACACTCAGTAAAAGCTGGTTCTTGTTGGTGGCCAGTTGTTATATTTTACAATGACATGGTACACAATGGATGTTGAAGACCAGATGGCACACCAGTACTCAGTAAAAGCTGGTTCTTGTTGGTGGCCAGTTGTTATATTTTACAATGTCATGGACCTGGCAGCCATCAATTCCTTTGTTCTGTACAAGAAATAATATCAGTAGGAGGGGATTTCATCTTGAAGCTAGACTCAAAGCTCCAACAAAATTACCAAGCATCTCAGCCTGAATCTAGTGAAACGTGTAAAAGAAAACAATGCCAGGTAATTAACTGCAATAAAAACAAAACTTCAGATAAATGTTCCCTATGTGAAAGAAGTGTGTATAGTAAAAGCACAGCAATAGTTAAAAAGAGTTTCATCTATGTAAATTATGTCACTAAGGCTAGTTAATAATGGGAGTCACGTACTTTTATAAAACGTTTTTTACTAACATACACTGTTTAGAATAATTTCCCTATTAGTTTATATTGAAAGTTTTGTATGTACATAAATCTGTTTATACACACTTACTAACTTGTTTCTTTTTATATATTTACTTCATCATAGTATTTAAATTACTGAAGTTTTGTTTTGCACAATTCTTCATTTTAACTCTCAATACAGGCTCAGTCAATTTGACCAATCACACGACCTCTTTGTACTCGTTTAAAGTCTTTATAGATTTAATAGTTCTATCTTTCAATATAGTGTGTATATCTTCACAAAATTTGGCAGTCTTTCAGTTAATATTACAAGTCTTTCACATACAAAAAAAATCATAAAAAGTGAAGTATTTTTAATAAAATAAAATAAAGATTTGTCCATGAATATATTGAGTATTTGTTTTGAATAGTCCGTGTGCACAGTAATTTTAATGTTAAGACTGAAAATACTTTTCTCATCTCAAAAATCTCAAATTTCCTTTTTTTAATCCAATCCCTAAAACCTTCTAAATGCATTTCAAACGCTTTTTTCAGTAAAACTTTATAGTTTATCTGTTATTTTCTCTATCCTATCTCAAAATGAGATTGGTCAAATCAATCGACCTCGTAACCACAAAAAAAATAAAATAAAGTGAAATAAATCTAAATTACCCATTTTTTCTTTCTAGAATGACTTCGAATTGAAACATGAAACTACATTTGTTTATACTAAATAGCTCTATCTTTGTAACTGTATACATCTATCTATAATTAAATTTTATTCTTATATTGCCCTTTGAACCATGTCTAACTACTATCCACACCAATATAAGTTGTAAATCACTCGGGGAATGTGAAGCTCACATTATGCTAACGAATTACATTACTCACAAGCTACTACGAGCTGCTCACATGTGTGCCTCATGAAACATTTTTATTATAATATTATTATTA